AGTAGATCCTGCTTTCCATCTGTTGTGACACAAGAGAGAGACATGAATTCTCTCCAGCATAATGAGAGGTGAGAGGGATTTAACATGTGCTTTGCTGGATATTCTGTTAAATGTCTGTATATCGTACAATGACCAAGGGACTGGACAGCCTTTGTTTGAGTCTGGAAGGAATCTCCATTTATCAGCATCATTAAAAACACGAGAAAAAGCAAATCGAGAAAATCTGACACATAGATTTACTTTAATGCCACGCTCAAAATCCTTTCTTCGTGTTCAGAGTGCAAGCATGACTCGATAATAAATACAGAATGAAAAGCAACTGGATTATTTAATTAGATTTTCTTTTAGTTGAGTTGCTCCATAAGGATCACTGCGTGTGGATACAATATATGGAACGGTTTATTCTAATAAAGCAATCCCATTCAGAGGTTAATGAGTTGAGCTGAGTTAATGAATCTTTCTTAAGATGCAACACACACTCAACCATGTAAGTGCAAACACACACATAATGTTCATTTATATTAGTTAGTGTGAGTGAATATCAATAACAATTTAAAGACATAGCATGGGCGTGATGCTTTTCTTAGGCGTTATTCTGTCTGCACGCTGCAAGGGATGATGTTTTACAGTTGAATGCAAGATTGAACATGTTTTTTATTTTTATTTGAATACATTAAACTGTAAACTATCCTGATTTTTATAGAATGACTGTATCTTTTGATTTGGCCATGTCAGCTCAGCTGTAACCATTTTGATCAACATCTGCTGCTGATTTAAAAAATAATTGTAACTGGTACACATGTTCATATCAGTATTTAGTGCCTCTGCTGTGACATGTCTCCTTGCTTTAATGTTTAAAAAGCTATATATTATTATACTGCCTGTGCTGCAGCACCTCTTTTCGCCCTCTGTCTGAAACCAGAGCCCAGTCTGCTCTGATTGGTTAGCTGGCCGGCCCTATTGTGATTGGTCAACCGCTTAGAGAGGTCCCAACCCTAAGCCTATCACGTACCATTTGTTGGAGCGCTAGCCAATAGAAGCGTCAGCGTTACATTGTGATGTTAGTGTGTTACGGAAGTAAACAAAGGAGTCCAATCGAGGCGTTTCAGGCAGGGGGAGAAACCCCATCTTTGCAGACCATTTACATGCACACAAACCTATAACACTCTTCAGGAAAGGGAAAATCCTATATTAAGCCCCGTTAAATGAATGAATGTGAAGTGTAGTACAATTATGTTGTGACTCGACAGTTATGTTTTTTACTCTAGTTTTGTGTTTGGATCTTGTCAATTCCTGTTTTTATTTTGAAAGTAATCTTTCCTCTCATTCCAGATCCCACATTTCCTGCCTTTGTGTGTTTCCCGCCCGTGAGATTGCTTGGCCCTGCCCTGATAGTTTTCACCTGTGCCCATCCTCCTCACCTATAAATAGCCCTTGTGTTTCTTTATTCCCTTGTCAGTTCGTTATGTTTCATGTCGTGAGAACCTGGGCCTTTTGACTCCTGAAACTTTACTTTGAGAATTAAACCTTTTGTCAAGTGAGTTTTGTTTTGAAGTACGACTTAGTTTTTGTTATTTAACTACTTTCTATTTTTGGACAACTGTCTCCGAGTCCGAGTTACAAATTAGAACTCAAGGTTGAAATAAACTGTCTTTTCTTACAAAAAATGCCAAGTAGGCCTAATACCTTTTATTTTTGTCATTTTCTGTCTTGTTTTTAATCAATCAAGTTTTTATTAAAGTGAATCAAAACACACACACAAAAAAAAGTAAAAAAATAGTTGTACTTCAATTTATGGTGCCATTGTGCAACAACAAATTCAGGTTTAGGACCCTTTTGGACCCCACAAAGCGTCTTCCATGCTACAGACAAAAAGGAAGCCTTCAAACTTGCACCAGTGTTTGTGGATTGGACTGAGGCTGCCCACTACCCCCTGATGTTTTTTCCATCACAGGCGCATTGTTGCCTTCAAATACAGGCCACTCTGAAAGAGTTCTGTCTGAAACTGTAAAGCGGAGGTCATAGGGGCGGTAAACTCCTGATAGCCTCCATTTTTGAGTATTTCCGCCATTTTGTCAATTAATCCTTTTGGTTTTGCACCTGCTGAGAGGGCTGACCTTCTCCTTCACATCAAGGCCAACAGGTGCAACACATTGTTCGATGAGTCACTCCTCTCAACCTATTGACATGTTCTTTAACAGTTTTTTCATTCTCCCTCTTAAAATAAACATATTTAAATTCAACAACAGTCTGAAGCTCAGGAGCCTGGACTTACAGAAGTCCACTGAATGTCAATAATAATAATATTAATGATTACCTGCTTTCTACTCTCTTTTGTATTGACTAACCTTTTTTTCTGTTTTTTTTATTGAATTAATTCAATGGTAATAAATATATTCAGGGTACAAGAATGCAAAGTTAGTTGAAGCAGGAGGGCCAAAGAAAATTAAAAAAGCCATCTTCAATTATGGAAAAAACAACAAACAAAAGTGATTCCAAGTCTTACGTAAAGATTCAAAGTCATGTGAAGGGGCTGAAAAATTTACCAGAAAAATTGAAAGAAACATTAAACAAATCACAATATCACAATACAATTTACTGTAAACTTATACAATCATTTTTAAAGGTTGACCACAGGACCATAAATAGTCTTTGTACGTTTGTTGCCAAAGGTGAGATTTGTTAACACTGATAGTTTAAAAAAAGACAACAAATTAATTAAATGTCCTATCATGACAGAATTTAGAAGAATAAACTTTAAATCAAATCAAATCAAATCAGGTTTTATTTATAAAGCACATTTTAAAACGATTTTTGGTCGAGACCAAAGTGCTGTACATGCAAATAATAAATAACACATTACTACATTCGCAAAGAACAGAAGACAATAAATTACCACAACAAATATAAAAATCCAAAACAGGGAATTGTCCGTAGTCATACTCTGCTCGGACTAGAATGCCAGGGAGAAGAAGTGAGTCTTTAGTTTTGTTTTAAAAACCCCTAGAGTCTGGGCCGACCTCATATGGAGGGGCAGAGTGTTCCAGAGCCTGGGACCAGCTGCTGCGAAGGCTCGGTGCCCTCGGGTTTTGAGCCTGGTCTGGGGCACTACCAGCAGTAGCTGTTCAGCAGACCTTAAAGCTCTGGCCGGGGTGTAGCGCTGGAGGAGTTCAGCTATCCACCAAAATATGTATTGTACACAGGGATTTGGAATACATTCGGTGTGTCCAACCTAATGACGTTGCCAGACATTACACCCATACCTGCGTCCGGAGTTAATCTGGGACGTCGTTCACGTCTTGCGGCGACGTTGCAGAAGAATGACGGTGGTTTTTCGCACTGGTGTAGTGGGGTTAAGACCGGAGTGACGTGACCGGAAGGTTAAGCCAAGTCTTTAACTAAAATTTGAGGAAAAATAAACAAAAATTTCGTGACTTTACCCGACCGAGGCC